GGCTCAATTTACGTTCAGGTCTGGAGCTTCAGTTCCTGCTTATGGTATGCTGCAGGTGTACTTGTTCCTAGTCCTGTTCTTGAGTTGTTGTTTGGATTTCCTGTTTTGGACCTGGCTTGTTACCTTGCTTTTGCCTGATGGTCCCTGGACTATAGATAGGACCTTTTATTCTCACCACCCCTTCTTTACTTGCCCACTTCAGTTGCTGTGGAACTGCACCCTCTCAGTGAGGTTATTACCCAGCTTGTGTTGTTGCCACTGTCAGCTTCTGACTTGCCTTCCCTTTTGGAGCAGTCCTGCCCTTGCTGCTCCCTGCGTTAGCTCAGGCTCTGAGTTGAGCACTACAGGGTATGGCCCTCAAGCTAAACTAGGGCTTGCCCCCACAGCTTCTCTGCAGCTAGGTGCCATAAGACCTGGCCCGATGGCCACCCTACACCTCTTATTTGATCTCCAGACCCTACAGGGAGCAGAGATCAACATGCAGAGGTAGATCACAGCTCTGTGGGCTTTTCTAACCTCTCCTGCATCCAGAGAGACCCTCAGCCTCCCCAAAGGAGGGGTCTGCTGACAAAGCATCTAGGCTTTGTCATACCCCAAATCAGCAGCCCTCAAGAAACATCTCAAGGACAATCTGGTATGTGGGTCATCTGTCCCTCCACCTCCCAGTGCCCCATATTTTTTGTCCAAAAGAAGGATGGGTGTATCTTCACAGAAGGAGCCTGATGACTTATAATGGCTTCAATCTACTTGGGTTCCATATACCAGCAGCCGAGGTCCACCAGGTACCCCAGGAACTTCACCCTGTTTTGTTGAAAGGAGCAGATTTCTGGGGTTTGACACAGAGTCAGCGCTGTTGCAAGAGACCCAGGACGTCTCCATCATAGTCTATGTGTGCCTATTGAGTGCTGGATAATATCAAAGTGTTAGGAATGCCACAGGATAGGTCCCACAGGATATCATTTACAAAATACTGGAAAGTGGTCAGGGCATAGCAGAGACCAAATGGCATCACAAGATACTCATAGTGTCTGTTTCTGTTTCAGAAGGCAGTTTTCCACTCATTCCACTAACATGCAGAGAATGAAGAGGTTCTTAGAAATAGCCAACTTCTGATAATTTTTAACAGGGCTTTCCAGTATTGTGGTTCCTATAACAGCACTTACCTGAAAGGGTTCTCACTTTCTGTGGACATACGAAGCACAAACAGCTTCTGAGAAACGGAAATAGGCATTCACCACCACTTGCATCGCAGTCCTGCCCAGGCGCTGTCCGGAGTTTCATTGTGGAAACAGATGCTTCTGACCTAGCCATAGGGGCCATCCTCTCCCAGAAAGTGGCATGAAGCAGGAGCTCCACCCTGTGCCTTTAGCTCTTGGCAGCTCATTCCCACTGATAGGAATTATGACATCTGCGACAAGGAGCTCCTGAAAACGAAGGCTGCCTCTGAGGAGTTGTGGCATGTTCCTGAGGTAAGAGAAGAACGAACAGTGGTGCTGATGCACAACCAGATCCTGGAATACTATTGAGGGAGGAAGTGCCTCTCTCCCCACCTTGCCTGCCAGGCTTCCCTCTTTCACACTTTGCTAACTTTTCATTCTTTGCTAACTTTGTTTTCCAATCTCAGAGTCATCCAGCCCCACCAGCCACCTCATGTGTACCTGTAGTCAGGGACAGTCAAAGCAGGGGGGCATTGCTGGGGCAAGTGACAACATGTTGGCCTTTTTTACCAGAGTAAAAGCCGTCCCCTTCTCTCCATCTGTGTTCCGCAGGTGAGGGGTGAGGTTGAATGCCGCCAAATTCCACAGGCTCCTCCTCTGGGGGGTAGCAGCAAGGGAAGTGGAGCAAAATGCGGCAGAGCTCCTCCCAGGATCCAGATACGCTCTCTTTGGCAGAGTCAGGTGCTTTTCCAGAGCAATAGGTAGGCCTGACAGGTTGCCCCAGGCACTGGGGCAGGTCATTCCTAGCCCTCTCATCTTGGAGGGCCTCAGGCAGCTCTAGCGTGTAGCGAGGCATAAGGGTTTGTTCTTTACATGCTGTTTCCACTGCCAACTTTGTGAGTTGAATTGTGTAGCTAGTGGCCGACTCCTTCCCCTGCCTGAACTCCAGCAAGACAGTCCTGGCCGCTGCACAATTGCAGTCTCCCCAAAACCACTCCAAAGCACTGAATAAGTCATCGGAGTTTTGGAGAACAGGGTCATTGTCCTTCACATAGGGCCTTCATCCAACCCAGGGCCACTTCTGAGAGCTAGGAGATTATTACTTCTGCACATCTACACACTTGTGCAGGCCCCTGAACAGGCTGTAAAGATGACCCACATCTATCTCATAAATCCCCATACCATTGCCCAGTCCCCACTGAATGGTTCAGGAAGCTGGGGATCAGGTGTTGCTGAAGAAGCCTGAAGGGTTGCATCATGCCTCTACATGCTGACCATTAGCTTCCTGCATGATTTTGAGCTGGAGCTGAGTGGGAGCCTCAGGGGGAAGATCCTGCCCACACTGAGACCATGCTCCATGGTGGCCAGCTCAGGTTTGAGGCCTGAGCTAACTGTCAGGGAGAAAAGTAAGCGGGGCTGCTTCACAAGAGAAGACAGGCCGAAAGCTGATGGTGACCACAGGGACAGCGACCTCACTGACCAGGGCACAGTTCCACAGTACCCAAGTAGGGCAGCTTGGAGACAGTAACAGGTTCTGTTGACAGTCCAGTGATCATCAGGTAAATGTGAGATGACAAATCAGGTCCAAGATCAATCCATGAAATTTAGTCAATAGGAGCCGCAGGGCACAGGGCTAGGCACAGACTTATCTACAGCACACCTCAGGAAAGGGCTGGAGGCCAAGGTTTAAGCTTAAACAGAGCTCCTGGACCAGTGGGCAGAGGGAGCATGGATGAAGGTCACAGGTGAGGCTGCTCAGCGCTATTAAGGCCTACTGGTGCACCCAGAGCCCTGATACCACTCACATGAATTTACATCAGTGGCACTTCCCATGAAATTCCTGTTTCTGTGCCTGAGAAGGTGGAGAAAAATCCATTCATATTTTTAACCATCCTGCTGGATTTCAGATGGGTTGCTTCCTCCCTGATCTACAGGGCTGAACATATTGGATATCTTCAGAATACTACCACCACTTTCTGCAAGCATTGTTTTTTTTTAAGGACTAAATGCTTTTTTTGAAAGAAAGGGACCCACTTCTAAATACTGGGAGCCATCAACTATATCCTGCAGCTGTCCTGACCATTATGCACTGACATATCTTAAACTCCATGTTAACTCTAGTGCAAGCTGCAAAGCTGAATGTAACATAAACTAAGTAGCCATGGGAATCAGTACCAACCATCTTGCACTTTCTAACTGTAGCTTGTAATACTCAAGCCAAATACTCCTTGAAAGCGTTACCTTCAATGATTAGAAATTATCTTCTTGCTCTCTTCCCAGTTCCTTCAGCCACTCATTGCTGCTTCCTTCCAGAAAATGTTATGCGAAGACTTAGGAAAACTTTGTATTTCAAGTGGATTAAAGGGTAGGGAAGGAGTGCTAACACAGGCAACAAGGAGAGGAGACTGAAGCTTGCCAATTCCTCTCACGTGACCAGAATTGTTGGAAATAGGGCCTGTCAGATCACGTGCTCCCAGGATGCAATGAATAACCATCATAACACCTTAACTTTATAATTAAAGGCAAGGACAGAATTTGTGAAATTGTTTTTTTCTACTTTAAAAAAAAGCCTTTTACTGAGACCTAGGTTGCAATCCTAAGCAATGGAAAGACTGGTCTGTTTTTCATACAGAAAGCATGCTGTGACATACTAAATGTGAGAACATCTAAAAACACATAAATCTTAATACACATTGCAGAACATAACTATAAAATTATGTTTTTTGTGTAAAACTGGATTTCAAAGAGCAAGGAAACTATATAATTTCCCAATCCATTTTTGGGGCTTAAAATTCAATTGTACAGATTGCGTAACAGCACATTATTAGAGATGTACCAGAAGAACCAACCAGTAAAGATGAGCTGGAAAAAAAAAAAAAAAAAAAGGAGAAGACACAAAACCCAGATATTCCTGGCCCCAAACCAGATATTACAGTTCAAAACAAACAAATAAAAAGTCAGAACTACTGTCTCATATAAGGCCACTGCATCAGGAGAGAAGCACGGGGACCCTCCCCCAGCTAAACTCTTCAGAAAAACCATACTGAAGAGCTGCCACTAAAATAGACAAAATAAAAATCTATCCTTATCCCGTCCCAGATTACCATTTTTTCTTAGTGTTCCGTCATTTAAAATACAAAGAAATCTTCAATAAAGAGAGTATCATTCAAGTCTCTATGAATCAGAAATCGTTAAAGTAAAATTACGTCCTTAAGCATAGCAGATAACGTGCACAGAATTTCAGCGCAGTAACTAACTTTTTTTCCCCAGGGAGTCTGATGTCCTTGGTTTTGTTCTTGTCTCAGCTTCCTCCAGCTCAAACACTTGGGTGCTTCTTTATGATGACTAGACAAGGAAATTCTAGGAGAGGAGTAAAGGCCAATTATTTTAAGACCACACCACTCATTCTTAAGGGTTTTTTTTTTTTTAAAAAAAAAAACGTGCAGTTGGTTGAATTGTGCAATTCTTTCCATTCCAGCTCTTTTAGTTACAAAGCAGTAAAGATTGAAGTTTGAAAGACAGCTTTACAAAAAAACAAAGCTGTGCTGTAATACTAAGTCTTATTTGTACAAATTTGCATTTTCTAAATTCAATTAGCCATGCCATACAGTATTAAAATGTGTGATAATCTTGCAAGTCTAGTGCAATTTGAACTATGCATTTTTCCAGGCACAGCACACAGAGCTTCTATTAATGGCAAATCAGCCTACCATGTGAACCTTCTAATAAAATAGCAGGAGCTTTTCTGCTTGTTGCTTTTTGTATTGAGCAGCATAACAAGGAAACTCACAGTCACATCGAATACTGGTCCCCTATAAAGATCAAACATACCAAGCTGTAAAATATAATACAGGAATATAATTTTATTGTGTTAATCTGCATATGTATTGGTACAGCTGTTCTGAGAATGCTTCTGATGAAAATTTTTCCATAACTCTGGCTCTCCCAGCTGCTCCCATTGTGTCTTTTAAGAGAGGATCTCTCACAAATTTTTCCATGGCCTCAGAGAATTGCGTTGGCAGAGGATCGCACAAAAATCCTGTAACGTTATTCAGGATTGATTCTAGAGGACCACCTGAATTAACCGCTATAACTGGACATCTCATATACATTGCCTCCAGAGGAACAATGCCAAAGTGTTCTTCGCTTGGCGTGTAAAGCACACACACAGAGTTACTAAGAAGGGAGATTTTCTGTTCATCTGAGAACGATCTCAGAAAAGTCACCTTGTCGCTAATACTAAGCTCCGTCGTAATACTCCTCAGCTCTTCATAGTGCTCCACGTTTTCCAGAACTCTTTTGTCATAGCCACCTGCCATAACCAGGTGAACTTCATTCCACTCACGAGAAGCAAGTCTCCCACGAAGCTCATGCAAAGCTTCCAGGGCCAATGCTAGATTCTTTTTTCTCTCATACCTATTAATGGAAAGAAACAAGAACTTTTTCTTTTGGGGTATCAGGTCAGCTATGTCTGCAGGAACTATTGTTTCAAAGCTTCTGATGTTGAGTGACGGGTAGAGAACATCTGGGTTTATGTGAGATAAGGACTTAAACGTGTTCTTGAACACACCGGCAGTGAATTTGCTGTTGACAACGATGCAGTCTGCCATGCCGGTTGTGTATCCTCCCAGCCAGTCGAGAGGAATCCGGTAGATGCGTTTCAGAAAAGATTCTCTCTTGGTCAGAAGCTGATCAGGAAAGTGACAGTAAAACAAAACCTTCTTCCGCGTTCTGGCCAGTCTGAGTATGGGAATGCAAGCGGAGACCTGGTGCAATCAGGAGAGACCGGGGCAAGAGGAAGCATTGCTCGCGTTAGCGCAGCTGGCGTGCACGCGTGAGCCCGGCGGATACCCGAGCGCCTCCTCTCGAGCCCTGCCCTCCAGCACAGCCAGCC